ACCTAACTTTCATATTATCGCTCATTTGCTATGTGCATGTAACTTCTTTGACTTCCCTTATTGGAATGGTTATTATGATATTTTAAGGGGAGTTTGCTTGCTGTGCAGGTAACTTTCTTTCTTGCGCATTTGTTATAAAAGTTATGATCATATACATGAAAATGCTGGACTAGCTGTAGTGGAAGATAAGATTAGAGAGAGTCGCCTTAGATGATTTGGTCACATTAAACGGAGCCCTTCTGACGACCCGGTTAGGAAAGTTGAGGTATTAGATTTGGCTTATGTTAAGAAAGGTAGAGGTAGACATAAAAATACTTGGTTAGAAAATATTAGAAAATATCTTTCTTTATTTGATTTAGATGAGAATTTGACTTTTAACTGGACACAATGGAGAAAAAGGATTCATGTAGCTGACCCCACGTAGTGGGACAAAGTCTTGATATTGTTTTTGTTGTTTCATGTCTTTCATCTATGACGTTTACCCCGCAAAACAATGAGCAACAAAGCATGATATGCATAATCTGTGGGAACTAACTAGTGATATGCATATAAAATTATAATATCTAATTATGCTTATTGATTAGAGAGATGTCCATCCTGAGATCTCAGACGGATGTTGATATATTAGTTCCAAAAAATGTTACAACATTATCTAATATATATAAATTATATATATGTTGGTCATATTATGGATATCAAAACTCAACGAAGTTGGATGTATAATCGATTGGCACAAGGATGAAAGACATTAACGGATGAGTTCATTAGAGGGGTGAATATTTTTATTCAGACACCTTGAAATCTGGAAAAAGGATGTGATATCATTCCTAAGCATGAAAATTTTGTAAGGTGGGAAATACTTAGCTATGAATTTATCTACCAACTGATTCCCAGTTGTTATTGAGCCTAGAGATACGTAACTTAACCATCATTGGCACCATTACACATGAATGTTGTCTAGATTTTTAAGAAGCTAGCTTAGTATAAGTTGAGATCCTCAACAGGAGTTCCCCTAAATTGATAATTTTGAATCATCTGAATTATGGTGAGTTTCAAGTCAAAGTAGTTAGCATGGATAATATGTTTATTAATACCTTCGTGAATTATATCTACTACATGATTAACATACTCCCTAATAGGTCTAGGATGATCCTATATCAATTTGGTTAAATCATACCTAAAACATCATTATTTTTAGATTTTTTTAGTTTTTGTATGGGTCCTCTCAATTTCTACGTCAAATAACACAAGCTCCTTACTAGATCTACTACACATGCAATAATAAAATAAAAATTATATATTCTGAAAAGACTCAACAATGGACATAAGATTCTTTTTCCTTCTTTTTAAATTAAAGAAAAGAAATAAAATACAAGGATTAAATATGTAACTAGTTTAATAATATAGCTTAACTTGTAATATGCATGTTATTTTCCTAACAATAGTGCAATAAAAAGAAGTTGATGCTAGGGTTTGCATGGGTTGCATTCAATGCTTAAACTAAGTTTATGCTAAGGGATAAATTATACTTAAGTTTCCTTTGATATGTACTATCCAATAAATAAACAAGCATAAGTATCTATCAAGTAATAAAGTTATTGAAATCCTAAGAGGAAGTGTCATGCTAAAATGCAAGTGAACTAGTACTATCTACTTCAACTATAATGTTTATTCTACTAAATAAAGATAAGGGTTGAGATATTGTCACTATAGAGGATCACAAGGAAAAAGATAAGATAATAGATAATAAAATATTTTAGACTAATGAAAGCAAGTTACCAAAATTTTTCTAATAAGGCCCTCTTTTATTAATGTGGATCAGAGATGCATACCAAAATCTTTACTAACCTTGTAAGGATCTAAAGGGAGGTTTATGGAATTTCTATAATTAATGTATATCTATAGAATCTAGAAGGTTAAATATCCTATTTCTAGGCATGCAAATACTTCATTCTAATACTTTTATTTATTCCAATATTGCTTTACCAAGATTCTATATCACACTTGTTTTAACTATACACATGGATACTATATGCATTAAATTAAGTTCAAAAGATATTGAAAATATACATTTCTCATTCAAATCACTAGAGTCTATTGTAGTACTAAAATTAGATTTATATCATTAGCCAAAAACTATGGAATTATTCAAACAGGATATGTAAAGTAAGTAAACAATATTTCATTTCTACAAAAACGAGAAATTATAGGATTAAAAGTTATTTAGATATGATTTGGATAGTATATATACCCTCTCCAATTTTTTTTCTCCTTTAATTATCTAATTTCTTATAAAGAGAGTTTTTTTTTTTTAGAAAAAGCATAAAATCTTTGATTAAAAAACAAAATGATTACAACCTAATGGTATTCGATTCCTCTTTTAACACTTTAATAAAAGTGGGAGGAATCTTATTCAACTCCAAATCATCCCAAATGAATGAACTAAATATTGCATAGTTAGCACATAGATCCGCTAACTTATTGCACTCCCTTTTAACACAATTGAAAATGACATATTCAAAATCTTTAATAAAAGATAAATCTCCCAATTCATTACTACCTTTTCTCATGATTCCTTGAATAAAATTGATGACGTTCTGATTATCACCTTCTATGATTATTTCTTTGTAAGCATACATCCATTCTCTAGTCACTTCTTTGAAAGAAAGAATAGCTTGAAGTTCCAAGAAAGATCCCAATGATGAAGCTTTTTACCAAATGCCATCAAAAATCTTCCTTTATGGTCTCGAAATACTCCACCAATAGCAGCCTTATACGAAGAACAAAGTGAAGCATCAAAGTTTACCTTCAACTAATCGGGTGGAGGGGGATGCCAAATATCATCAATCAGCCTAACTGGTTGGTTGACATCCTGTATGCCCGAGCTCATACCATTTGCCTGCTGAGATATTGCTATATAACTCACTACATTGGCTGTTATCACCCAAGAGCTAGATCGGTTGTCATCATGAACTAGTTCATTCCTAGCACTCCATAGTAAATATACCAAGTTACAAAAGAGGCCAATCAACCATAGATTTTTGCTGTGAAGCCATATGCAACAAGTTTCAAAAGAATTGAAAGTAGGAATTTGAACACCCCAATTGCTTAAAAGTTGAATAGCTTCTCTTAATTTCCTGCATTTAGTGACTAAATGCTCAATGTCTTCAACCTCCTCACACCCCCATGGGTAGCTCTCCATCCTTTGCAATCTTCTATCGTGAAGATAGTGATTCATTGGAATTGCTTTGTCAAGAAATCTCTACCAGAAGTTCTCCACTTTAGAACTTGGATTAATTTTTTTCAACCAATCCCACTCCTTTGGTTCTGAAGGATGATCTAACGAATACAAAGTAGCCATTGCAGCAATTGATTTACCTGGAATCATATGAATTAATTATAGCTTATCTTCTTCATCTTTACAGTAAATTTGAATGCCTGTAATTATTTTTACAAGTTTTGGACCACATAATTCCTCAATTTTCATCACATCCCAGTTCCCATTGCTTATCCAGCTATCCACCGTGCATTCACATCACACCATTATTTTCACAAATGTCGGCCATTTGTCTAAACTTTTATCGAGTAACCACTTGTCTTTAAATATATTCACAGAATTCCCATATGCAATTTTCCATTTGACAATTGGTTTAAGGAACTTCTCTCCACTTCTTATAAGATTCCAAGCAACTGAACATGATTTACTCGAAGAATTGCTATCCATACAGGTACCATATTTAGGGAATAGGATCTTATGCGAAAATGTTTCTTTATCTTGAATATATTTCCAAGCCAATTTAGCTCTCAATGGTCCATCTTTCTTCGAACAGGGAACTAACCCATGTCCACCATGATACTTCGGTTTGCAAAGTGAATCCCGGCTTATATAGTGAATCCCATTCCTTCCATCACTCTTGCTCCATATAAAGCTCCTACATAACTTGTCAGTCTCATTCAAAATACTTCTTGGGACCAAAGAAAGGGATGAATGGAAAGTGGAAATGATAGAAACACTGATTTAACCAAAGTTAATCTCCTGGCTAAGGATATAAAATTCCATCCCTATACATTTAACATGCTCAAAACTTTATCCAAGAGGAATTGTAAATAAGCTTTGATAAGTCTTCTCAAGGACATTTTAATGCCCAAGTATGAGAATTCTTTTATTTCCTTTAAGTTCATGAATTTAGCTATCCTTTTCCTCCTCTTGACAGCTCTTCAAAAAAGAACTCCTGATTTTTTTGAATTCACACTTTGGCCTGTCCATTTAAAAAAGTCCATGATTTTGTTTTTAACTTCCTTAACCATCTTCATACTAGATTTCGAGAAAATGATGATATGGTCGGCATAAAGTAAATGGGAAATCAAAGGCCCATTAGAATAAATTTGAATGCCAATCAAATCTTTTTTTTGATAGAATGCATTGGAACGTAATTAAGCACATAAAATGAACAAGAATGGAGATAATGGACATCCTTGACGAAACCCACTCTTTGCTTCAATCCAATTTGATAAGTTCCCATTGATAGATAATGAAAAATAATGACTATAAATACAATCCATTACTAGATTAGAAGAAAAGGTTGGAAAGACAAATACTCCAAAGCTTTGTTTAAAGTAAGCCAACCCATAGAATATAAGGCTTGCTCCATGTCTATTTTAAAAGAGACTAATCCTTTGGAAGATTTAGAGTATCTAACCTTGTGGAAGACTTCACGGGCTATTAATACATTATCCGATAGTGATCTAACTTTCAAGAATGCCACTTGCTCTACAAAAATCAATTTATAAACAACAAGCAATAGTCTATTCAAGATCATTTTTGCAGCTATCTTATAGAATGAATTACATAAACTGATCGGTCTAAAGTTAGAATGAGATAAAGGGGTTTTTACCTTAGGAATAAGAACTATAATGGTTTCTCTCCACTCCTTGCACATCATCCTGGTTTTGGAAAAGTGATCCACTGCATTCCACAGATCTACCTTGATTATAGACAATTATGCCTTGAGGAAGGAATAAGAAATCCCATTTTTGCCCGGTGCATTGTTTGGACCCAACTCTTGGATCACCTTTTCCATGTCTTCAATTGTAAACTCTATGCTAAGCACCAAGGAGTCTTCTATGCTTAATGTCTTCCACTGTTTGGGCCATCCCAATAAGGAACACTCCCTTTCTTTCCACTTTTCATTGAAGTAGTTGTTGAGAACATTCTCCACCTTAATCTGATCTTCCATGATCAAACCATTTTCATCCTTGATTTTGTGAATAAAATTTATATTCCTCCTTGCACTGGCATAAGCATGAAAAAATCTAGTGTTTGAGTCCCCTTCCTTTATCCATTTCACTTTGGCTCGCTGCCTCCACTATGTACAAAGACGAGCTAAGGTAGAATTCAGATTATCCATTTATACCTTGAGTAGCCAAGCTTCCTCTTCATTTAGAAACCCGATTACAGCATCTTTAGTTTGCAATTCCAGGATTTGTTTCTTTAACTCATCTTTCAACTGATTTAGCTCCTTATACTTGGCTTTACTCCAATTAAATAATGCTTTTAATGCTCTATTCATCTTTTGATTCAAAATATGAGGAAGACTACAACAAACTTTTCTCCACCATGCCTTCTTAGCAACGGTTACAGAGGTTGGACATGAAGCCCACACCTCTTCAAACTTTATCTGTTTCTTACTTATCTTATTAAACTCCAATAAGTTCAACAATATTGGATAATGATCTGATGCTATCCTTGCTAGATGCCTTACCACCATCCATTGGGATAGGTTCATCGCCACAGAATTGAGAAGGCAACTATCCAACTTCTCTAGTATCCTTTCAGCTCCCTTTTTGTTATTACACCATGTGAACTTAGGACCAATGCTCTCCACTTCATGTAAATCAATACATGTGATAAAGGACTTCATCTGCTTATTACCAAGAGAATAAACAAAGTCCCTTCCTCCCTTCTTCTCCTCCCTTGATAGCAAATAATTAAAATTTCCACCCACTATCATAGGGACTTCCTTAGACACATGATACTCCAACCTTCCCCAAAGAGAACTTCTACTATAAGTGTCCCTACTTACATATATTGTTCCAATCTTCCACTTCCCTTTATTGACTACCTCCAACTCCCCAACCACAAATTGAGAAGAAGATTCTTGTACTTTGAATGAAGCCATATTTTTCTTCCATAACACCATGATCCCTCTGGATAATCCATCTGCTAGGACATGAAAGAAGTCCCATTTCATTCCTATCAACAGATTTACATCTCTTCTGTCTATTGAAGCCATCTTAGTTTCAATTAACCCAAGAAAGAATAATCCATACTCCTTAGTAAACTCTTTCAAATATAGGGAATCTTTTCTTCTTTTTTTTTTGCTCCCCTAGAATTACAGAAACCTATGGATGACTTCATTGAATAGTAGGGGAAGATTTCCCCAGATTGTCCTTTAGATCACCTTCCCCTCTTCTATTCCTTGAGTCTGATTTAATTGTCCCCAAACCTTTTAGTTGCTTCAAACCTTTCTTTCATGCAATAGTTGAATTCTCCGCTTGATTGTTCCACTGTGCTATAGTCTCACTATCATCCCCCTTATCAATGACTACATCTTAATTTATAATAACTGGAACATTAGGCATCTCCATATCCTTATTGTTCAGGTGATCCATATCTTCAGAATTTTGATTTAACACATCAAATTGATTGGCAAGGTTGAGATTACATGTAGAGCTGATAGCAGCAACTCCTTCTTCCACAGGATCAACATACATCCTATTCTGAGGAGGAATAGAATTTGAATGTTATTTAAGACCTTCTACCCGAGTGCTGGATTTCTTCCTTATATCTTCGTTCTGATTTCCCAAACCATCAACTGATTCCTTCATGTTTTGCTTAGTATCAACATTTTCCTTTTCTTTTGATCCCAGAGACCTGTTTGCATCCTTCCAACCTGGTCTAACCCAGGTGTTTTTGAATTTCAGATTTCCGACCTTTTTTTTCCCCATAATCTACATGAATCTAGGGACCATAAGTCTCTTTATCAATCATATTTATTCTTCATTTGTAGACCTTGCATTTGAAATAGGTTTTTCTGATGCAGCCTATCCTTCTTTAGATAATTTTGACTGAATATCATCCGACTTATTTCCTGCTATAGCCACAGCACAACTACTCTTCACATGCCCAATTTTGCCACATTTGAAACTAAAATCTGAAATCCACTCATACTCAAATTTCTGATAGAATTTACCAGAAGGTCCTTCCACCCATGCTCCCACAGACAACATGTTCTCAAGCTTGATCTTGACACAAATCCTGGCAAACTCCCTTCTTCCGCATTGAAACATTTTTTCATCAATTAGATATGGAGTTCCAACCATTGAAGTGATTCTACATTCATTTACTTCATCCCAACATTGCAAGGGGAGGTTTGGCATCCTTATCCACAAAAGAGACATTAAACCTTTAAGAGAAGTTTGCTAAAATGCTGGAGACCTCTTGTCTAGACCAATGATATGCCCATTCACATACCAAGGTCCACTAGAGAGAACTGATTCAAGCACCTTTGGGTCTTCAAAAGCACATAAGACCCACCCTCCTCCAAGTAGAGTAATGTGAAACTTGCCAAATTGAATTCATTGTCTCCTTAGCTCCATCCCAATTACATGGTAAGGCAGAAATTCTCCGAAAACCTTCACTACCAGAGATTTCTTCAAATTGTTAGAATTTTCTAACTCTTTCTCCTTGTTAAGCATAACAACACCTTCTTCATTAGAGCATTCTCCATAATCAAAATCAATCACTTTGAAATTAGATTTCTTATTCCATGCATTGGTGGTCACCTTACTAGATTGAATAGGACCTTCTACTGTAAGATCCTTACAGCAGTTGCCTAATTCTACTGAAATGCATTCCCATACCTTGCCCGATTCATTAGCAACCAATTACACTTCTTCTGAATTCCCAATTACTAGGATCTTCTCACCATTTACAGTTACAGAAACAGGGGAAGAACTACCATCACTAGTAGCAGCCAACATTAATTCCTTTCTTGATATCATATTAGATTTATAAACAATAACATCAGAATCATCAGTGGAAGAACAAAGACAATTTTTCATCCCTTTTTGTAAAACAGATAGATTGATAGCTTCATCCGAGACTTCATTGAAAACCTTTTTTCCCTTTTCTTGTGTACTATGATAGATTCTTCTTTTGAATATATCATCCTTCATTTACTACCAAGGCTCTAGGCTTTTTGTACCTTGGTTTAGACTCGGGATCAAACACCAACCTTGCATCGCCAAAAATAGGGCGAGACAACCTATTATTTGGACATGGAAGAATACGGATAGTGCTGGATGATGTCCGACGACCATCAGTGGTGTCGGAGGGTGGAGGCCGACGGTCCTCCACCATCATTGGTGGAAAGCAAAAAATGCGGGAGATGGAAATTAAAAAAAAAGAAATTTCTCTCTCTACGAATTACAATATAATGTAGGCTAACCTTTAAGTCTAAAGATTCCGCATAAGTATATATAAAACTTAATATTTGGAGTGTATTTTTTAGTAGTAATAGATCTAGTTTAGGGATTGTGACTTTGGACGATGAAGTCATTAATAAAGTACATATTTTTAATATCTTTGATCTATGCAATTGGAGAAGTATGTGAATGCATTGGGCGTTATTATGTGATATAAAAGTGCCCCTCAAACTAAGCATAATTTTAAGCTGTGTTACAGAGATGAGGATGCTTAAGTGGATGAGTAGTGGATTCACCCTTATAGATAGGACACAAAAATAACATATATATAAGAATGTTGGAGTAGCTCCAGTGGAAGATAAGATTATATAGTCGCTTTGGATGGTTTGGCCACATAAATGATGGCCTTAAGATCACTCTAAAACTCTTTGTATTTTCCCTAAGTAGAGGTTGTTAGATTTTTCATTGATAGGGGACTTATATGAAATTAAAAATTCATCTATTTTCCTTCAATAATTTTAAAACATTATCTAATATATTCATATTATATGTTGGTTATATTATGGATATTATAACTCAAAGAAGTTGGATGTATAATCAATTGGCGTAATGATGAAAGACATTAATGGATGAGTTCATTAAAGGGGTAAAATTTTTCATTATGAGAGCTTCTTAACTGCCCATCTTCATCTCAGATGGAAAGTTTTATTGCACATGTTCTAAACATAAATATCAGCTACAACAGAGCGTAGATGATGTAACTATTAATCTAGCATCGAGGCTTCATGCAAAAATATTAGTATTAGGCTTCTCATTGTGAGTATGAAACATATTTTGATTCTCAATGCCCATCGACAAGTGCTAATATAGCTGAGGAAGAAAATATATGACTTGATCTTGAGGATTAGTTCATAATATAACTGGAGCACAATTTGGACAATATATAGATAAGTCACCTAATAAGTGTTGCGACCCATGACCCCGAGGTTGAGATTTTGATGATGCCAAATAATGGTGCCTAAACTACTTTTTATTGAATATCATTTAATGTTTGTTATTGTCCGTGAGTACTAACATTTCTGGAAGATCACAAGCCACTCATGACAACGAGAAGACTCAAGTCTAGTTGGATTAGGAGTATGAGTCGGACAATATATTTTGTTATTTATTTTATTTTTTATTTTCTTGAGTCTGGCCATAAATTGCAGGTAAGTCTGAGCAATCATGCACACACACCGGGGGAGAGGGTTTTTAAAAGTAAGAAATATAGTTTTTCATTCTCTGGTAATCGTACTGTATGAATTTATTTCGTACTGTACGATCTACTATTATAACACGTGTTATATGAACACATCGTACTGTACGAATACTATTGTATGGTACGATCTATTTCAAATCCAAAACCGTAGCCGTTATGATAAGTCAAGTATGATATTTTGCGTCGTTCGTATTGTATGACTATGTTCGTACGGTACGATCTATTTTAAATACATACTTAATATAACCCGTGATTAGTGTAAGAAATCAATGTTTAATTACAAATTGAAAATCGTACTGTACGAACCCCTTCATACAATACGATGAACAGAGTTGAATTCTGATTGTCCTGGACGATCCTATATTTTTTGTCTCATTGATGATTACCATCGTACCATACAATGAACAGAGATGAAATTTGATTGTCCTGGAATTCATCCTGTATGATGCCTTGAGTTTCACAATTTGTACGGTGTGATGTCGATCGTAACATACAATGAACAGAGATGACATTTGATCATCCCGGATATCGTCCAGTACAAGTAGTGCGTTGTGAATCATACCGTACGATATGGTATCATACTGTAAAATTAGTTTTTGAACTATTCATACACCTTCATACCAGGACGAAGCTAGTTTATACATATTGTACTGTACAACCAATAATCGTATTGTATGATTATAGCGGCTACTTTTGAAATCTCAGGGTTTTTGGAGCTCGTTTTTGATGTGAAAAACTTATCATATTTTGAGAGAGAGAGAGAGAGAGATAGAAGGGAAAAACATGAGTAGAAAGAAAATACAAGAGAGAGCTCTTGAGAAGTTTGAGGGGTTAAAAGATGAAGGAGAAGGTGAGCTAAGTGAGGGAGAAGAGGTGTGAGGGAGATCACACGATTGCTCCGATCTTGCTGCAACTTGCTCCTCCTGTGTCCCAGGAAGAACTTGTAGGAGGCTTTCTAAGGGGGATACTTGCCTATGTCCATTGACCTCGAAGGTACTCTGCCTTCTCCAGGAGGGAGAAAAATGAGAAGTTACTTTACCTTCACCAGGAGGGTGAAAATAACGCTTGGCACTACGCCACACCGGGTTGGTGAAAGGGAGTATTGTAAGGGGCTTCTTCGCCTTGCCGAGGGGGGAAAAGGAGAGCTATTTGTTGGTAGTGAAATTCCCGGAGCGGAGGACTCCGGGGAGTGGACGTAGGTCATGGTTTGACCGAACCACTATAAAAAATTTGGTCTGCTTTTTTCCTTATTGTTTTTATTCTTACGTGCATTTTTATTTTATAATATTTGCTTGGAAAAATTGTGAAAGAAAAAAGGATTTTATTGTTGCCCGTAGCCTTAGAAGTTGTTTTAAATTTTCATGTTAAAACCTATAAAAAGAAAAAAAATATATAAAAAAAATATTAGAACTCATGTTTAGGTTTTATATATTGCTATAAAACTTTCACAATTCACCCCCCCCCCCCCCCTTTCCCACTTCCCCCCCCCCCCCTCTTGCCCATCTAGAAATTTCAATAAGGAGGAACACTATTTTTATGATTTGTTAC